TAGCCTTTTACGTGACATTCTAACAAAAATATTAAAATACAGAATTGGCTGATTATTAAAACCGATTAATCGGGGGAAATGGCCGATTACCGATTACTTACCGATTAATCAGTGCATCCTTAGTAATCATTATATTAATATCCTAAGGAGACTGTCTGTCTGTCGCAGCATCAACCTTTGAACGAAGTGTCTAATTACTTGTTTAAGCTGGCACGTGTTTGTTAAGCCTCGTTTCCTTCATTGGCTTAATTATCTGCTGCCACATGTTTTATGTGGTTTACTTCATGTTTATACACCCATCGTGATGCACTTAAGAGACAGGAATACAGACACTTACTCTGAATACTTTATTTGGGGTCCTATTTGGACTGGGCAATCTCCACTCTTATACATTAGTCAGGTCCCTCTCACTCTGGTGTTGCCAGATCTTCCCGTAACAGAAGTGTTTCACAATTGCATGAAATCTAACCAAAAATGCTATAATTCAGGCTCCATCTTAGGTTTTACTGTATAAATTTTGTCTGTTTGAACAATTAAATCATTTTGAAAATATTAAAATTTATATATAAATGTTTGAATATTTTGAAAATAATCATTATTATTTTGTAGGTGAACTTGGCTGGGAGCTTTATCATAAGAAAGAAGATACTAGCAAATTATATTCTGCTTTATTGGAAGCAGGGAAACAACATGGAATAGGAAATTTTGGAACATATGCTCTAAATTCCTTAAGGTTAGAAAAAGGCTTTAGAATGTGGGGAGCTGAGGTAAGATAATGAAGTTTTCAGAAGTGAAAACTCTAGCAACTGGCATATTTTCAGTAGTCAATGTAATTCAAATCTTTAAAAGCAAAAAGTTTCTTAAAACGTCTGGATAATTTTTAGAACTTTGTCTCTAAAAAAATCTAAGAGTGCTCTTTCATGATTTGATAATTTTGAAATCACAAGTGAATAGTATTAAATGTTAAATGTTCACATATCAGTCAAAGTGAACAGCGATGTAGATATAGAATTTTTTTTATACAAGATCTCATCTTAAGTATCAATTTGGACATGTTCTACTGAAGATGTATAGTACTGTACATCCAGAAGTAATTGAGTCAGTTTGGTTTTGTGGAAAGATTTTTCTAACAAAACTGTAAATTAAATCATAATGTTTCCTTAGCTAAATATCTAACAGTATTTTGTAGTAGTATACCAATCTTTTAGGTTTATTTGTAGAAGTCAAAAATAACATTATCTAACACTTTCAAAAATTTTTCTTCTCACCTTCAGAATCTTAGAAATAGAAATAGAAATAAGCATAAAAAATTGTTTGAGTCAATGAAATTTCAAATTACAATGCTAAAATCTAAAGAATGGCAACTTAAAGTACGAGGGTAATCCCAAAAGTAGTCTCCAATTTTTTTTTTAAATGCAAAGAAATGTTTATTTTCAATAATGTTCACATCATTTTAAAGCTTCAACATTTATCTATTTTTCTACATAATTGCCATTTCAGTCTATGCATTTTTGTAGGTGCTGTGGCAATTTTTGTATGCCCATGTCATACCAGCTCGCTGCCATGTTGTGTTAAACCGATTGAAATTTATTGCCAATTGACGGAAGTGTATGGAGAGTCGTGCAAAGATAAAAATGTCCTCAAGTGGTGTAGGGAGTTTGCAGCTTATCATACTGAAATTCACAACAAAGAAGCGGGAGACTGTCAATTTTCAACAAGACAGTCACAAAGGTTGAACAATCCATGTGTGAAGATCAGCGAATCACTCTGGATGATCTCTGCATTTTGGTTCTTGGGGTTTCACAAAGCACCATTCATAGGATTTTAACAGAAAAGTTGCAATATTGGAAGGTGTGCGCAAGACAGGACCTGCAACATGGCAGCGAGCAGGTAAGACACGAGCATACAAAAACTGCCACAGCACCTACAAAAATGCATCAACTGAAATGGCAATTATGTAGAAAAATGTTCAAGCTTTAAAATGATATGAACATTATTGAAAATAAATGTTTCTTTGTATTTAAAAAAATAGGAGACCTTACTTTTGGGATTACCCTCATATTTTTGTAAAAAAAGATTTGCATTACTTTAATACTTATGGAAAATCACATAGATATGCTGAGCTCAAGTGGAATGGTGCTGTCAGAATGTGTAAAAAAAATCTTGATCTCTTGAGTACATTAGTTTGGCCCAATAATTATTTCCCTATTTTATTACATGCACTTTCTCAAGGCCATCATATATTTTGACAAAATTTAATTGACATTCTTTAACAGTTTTGCCAATTTCTGGCTAGTAGATAAAATATTTCTTCTTTCAAAGAACATAACTGGCATACTACTTCCAAATGTGATAAATCAAAAAGACTTGTTTGAAAGAAAAAAGCATTGAATAGACCAGTGGTTCTTGATTGCTGTGCCATGAATCTGTTCTTAAGTATGTTGCAAGATGAATTAAAATTTGTTCTATTTTCAAAATTTGTTTTAAAATTTAAAAGTACATTTGATATTTCAGAAGTTTAATACCTTCTCTACAATAGCCGGCTAGTACAGAGACAGCTCCACAACTGACCTGTTGTCTAGTCCTGTAATATTTATTATTAAATTTATTCTTGTGGTTCCCAACATTTTTGGCTCAATGCATTTTATTATTAAAAATTGATTAGTTAATTATAGCATCCATTAATCATGCTTCACGATTCATTTTTATAATTACTTTATAGATGAATATGGATTGCAATCCTTATGAAGCGGGACTGGACTTCTTTATTAAACCACATAAGTCGTCCGATTTTGTCGGTAAAAGGTCTCTACACAAAATTATGAGTAACGGTTTAACAAGAAAACTTGCTCTTCTAAAAATCGATACCGAAGATGTAGATCCGGAAGGAAATGAATCAGTTTGGTTTTGTGGAAAGGTTTGTTTTTAAAAATTTTTAATTCAATCAGTTATTTTATTAATTACTAAAACTTTAAAAAATTTTAATTAGATAATTGGAAATACTACTTCTGGAGCATTTGGTTATCAAATCAATCATGGTATTGCTTTTGCTTATCTTCCAATTTACCTCAATATGCCTGGAGCAGAAGTCCAAGTGGAACTTCTTGGAAAATTAACTAATGCCACCGTTCTTTCGGGTCCACCAGTTCAAATAGAAGCTCTTAGAAACAAGAAACAAAAAAAAACTAGCATTTAGGTTAACATTTTTTAAGCTGATTATTTTTTAATTATATTATATTATATACACAAATAATTTAAATTAGCTAATAAAGTGCAGATTAAAGCATCTAAAATTATTGTAATATATGAAAATTTGTGAACTTATACAGTAGTTAGTTGATTGCTCATTTTCTCATAAAAATAATCTTTAAGCACATTCAATAACAATTTAAGTGCTTCTATCAAATTCCTCCTCTTCATGCACTTTGCTTTCTCAATTTCTATTTTTTTATAATATAAAAGAAATATTTGTCTAACTTACATTAAAAAAATGCTTTGATTCTGTACTATTCACACATCAATCAGATTAATTAATTAATCAATAAAAAAGACTAAAAATTTATAAATCTAATGTAAATTTGCTGATCATAACTAGAACTGAGGAATTATCCCATTTATAATTTACTGGAAAGGTCCCATAGGGATTTGAATCAGTAATAGGATTCAGCTGGTTAACCTAATTGATTCCTGAAATGTCCTTAGTTTTACTACATCATGCTTGAGGTTTTTTTAGATTCATTTGGTTATTTGGCCTCTAATACTGTCAACAAGTTGTCCAAATGTGGGAGAAAAGTATGTGTGTATCAAATAGATTTGAGAGAATAAAAAGGTATGGCCAGTGTATGTGGCTGAGTCTAGTCAAAGATCTAGCCATGTCTTGATCTTTGCTTGATAGAAAAAGGGAGTTGGATTCAATGCACATAACAAAAGGATGTAGAAACTTTAAACTTTTAACTTTGGATGGTGCATTCATTAATTGTGTTTTTGTGAATTTCTGATTAATTAATATGGTATTTATAACAACTGAAGTTTCTCTATTTAATCCAACTTTGTGTTTGTGTTTAAGTTTTAACTAGCAAAAAGCTAGTCAAAACTTATGCAAAAATGTTAAATGTCACATTCATTTACAAATAAATAAAAACTGAATTTAAAAACCACAATTAAACATTACACTATCATACATAGTTTGTAAAATCTGCCATTATAACAATTATTTGTTGATAAGAATGAAAAAGGAACCAGCACAAACCTTATGGGAAATGGGTTCCATTGGATTTGGCTGAATATGACACATGGACATTCTTCTTGCAAGAGACTCACTCCTCCAAAACTTGATAATGGTTACAAAGGAATTCTGATGAACATATATGGGTGAATTCTTTTTGTTTCAAAATGTTTCCACTAAAGTTCCTTTGTAATCATTATCAAGAGGAGTGAATTATAGAGTTGAAGATAACTTTGCATATCTTTTCTTACTTTACATTTTGGGAATTCTATACATTTTGATTTACCTCAAAAATAAAATTCTTCTAAATGGCACCAACAGGTTGATCATAAATGAATGAAATATAATATACCAAAAATAGTGATCAGTCAAAAATATTTTTGAGAGAGGTTTGAGTTATACAATGTTATTCATAATGAAATAATCAACAATCATCTGTAAGGTCAGGCTAGAATTTGGCTAATTAAATGATTATTATAAAGCAACTGGTCACTAGAGGGAGGTGTTAGGTGCCATCTCTTTATAATTTTAATAATTTACTAATCATTATTAATTTAAATAAATTTAGAACCTTCTGGAATAAAAGAACTGACCCGGGGCAGGGCTTGAACCCGCAACCTCTGCTTGCTGTGCAGTTGCCTGTTGCGCCATCCCTCTAGTGACAAATTGCTTTATTATAATCATTTAATTAGCCAAATTCGAGCCTGATCTTTCAGGCAATTGTTGATTATTTCATTATATACTCATCGGGCTATAATATGTAAGATGTTTACTATATATAGTATATATACTATATATATAGTAATGTTATTCATAAGTCCCTCTGGGGTTCGATGCTCGATAATGTAATAACCAAGCAGACACAGCTGAATGGCTCATATATATAAGTAGAGAATCTCCAAGTTTACATTTGTAATAACCATCAACAGGTGATATATTTCAGATTTCACTGCTGGGGGCAGTTGTGATGAAACATGACTTACACCAGTGAGAAGAAAGTTTTTTGTGTCTTAGAATTTGCAAAATGCAAGTCTGTTGCTACAGTTCAACAAAGATTTCCCAACAGATATCACGACAGACAAGACAATTCACACATGGTATGCTAACAAGGAGAGCATCAGAAATTTCAAATTGGAGACCCAACAAAACTTTGTGTTTAAGGCTACAAGCTCACCAACAGCTCTTTGTCCAAATAATAGCACCCATTTCTCAAGCGTTTCCAAAAAATGGGCCTCTGAAATTTTGTATTTAGCTTGTAAGTTTGGAAGTTCATGTCTTTTTGGAATGGCAATAGCCGCTTGCATAACTTGCTGGAGACCAAAGTTACAGGATATGAGTTTGATGCTATGTAATATTAGTTTTAGTTTAGTAACATAATAATAATAATTCTTTTACTGTATCATTAGCATTATTATTACTCATGTTTAAAGCTTATAAAACAAGAGAGTGAAATCTAGAGACTTCTTTGTTGCTTTAAAGGATATGGCAAGATGATTTTTAACTCTTTTTTGTTGTTAAATAAAAATTTTATTTCTTCATATTTTACATATTTTCACTTCTGATTACATACTATGTCACCATAAGCAAGTAAACTTCAGACATTAGTGGTCATGGACAAAAAAGACAAGTCCCCAAATGTGAAAATAAGAGCACAGTTGCAGCATTTTTCTTTTAATTGTTAATGTTATGCACAATTTTCTCATGTGCTTGCATTTGATACACTTCAAATATAACAATACCATCAGATCTGAAATCAAATGTGAAGAAATAAAATTTTTATTTAACAACATTAGCAAAAAAGAAATCTCTAGATTTAACTCTTAGGAGGAAACTGTGAGGAATAATAATAATAATAATGCTGCTAATGACAGTAAAATAATAAAATAGTTTTTTTTGTTACATTAACATAACATTGTGAAGGATTGAACCCATACCCTGTAGTTCTGGTGCCCACCACCTTATCTATGCAACTATTGCTATTCTGAAAAGACCCAGAACTTCCAGACTTATAAGTTAAACACTATTTTCAGAGGCCTGTTTTTTGGAAATGCTTAAGAAGTGGGTTATATTATTTGGATAAGGTACTGTTTGTGTTTATGACTACATGATCACCAAGTTTTGTTTGAATCAAAGACCTAAACATCTAACCCTCTCCTTGTAACTTTCAGCAGACTGACTGCCTGTGTGCTTCAAAATGGGCAGGCTGGCCAGAACCATCTGCTGAGAGAATCTAGCTCGTATGATATGGTTTTACTCAAAGACAAAATGTTTGCATAGAATATGCCAGATTGTCAGTTGCAAGATCTGAAATTCTAAGCTGGTACAATCTGTCGACTTCTAAGGGCTCCGGATAAAACTGTCATACAAGCTGGATCCTTTGAGCAGACGTCCCAGCCAGCCTGTACATTTCGAAGCACACAGACAACCATTCTGCCGAAACTTAGCATACCACATATGAATTTTCTTGTCTATTGGTGCATCCATGTAATATTTGTTCAGAAATCTTTATTAAACCATCACAAAACCCACATCTGTTCTAAGACACAAAAAGATTTCTTCTCACCAGTGAAATCTGATGACAGTTACTACAAATATTAACTTGGAGATTTCCTACTTGCTGACACAAGTCATTTTGTGTTTGCTTTGGTTTTTGTGCTATCAAGTGCTGAAACCCAGAGGGACTTATGAATGGTATTTTCTGTAAATATGAGATTAAACAAACAATAATATTATGTTTCTTCAATAGCATTAAAGACAAATAGTACATTAAAAAAACTATAATTAATATTTTAAACATAAAATCAAATAATTAATAAAATTTTAATACAAGTATAGGCAAATTTAAACCTAATTTAAATATTTAATTATACAGAACATTAATTTTAAAATTAAAGTATTATGTCTGATAACTGTTACTAAATGAATATCAAATATTTGTTCACAAGTTATCTTGAACTATAATCAATCTAGTTGCCACAATGGATGGCCAAGATGTACTATTACAGTATATTGATAAAATTCATTTTCTGTCTAGATAAGGGATTCTCAAATGCAGTCACAGAACAATATTTTTTTTATGTGAAAACATAAGGATCTCTTATAATAGTATTAGCAATCTTCCTGTTAAGGATGGATTTTATTACTAAAGATAAACTTCACGCAAAAAAATGGAAAATACTTCAACGATACTTAGTAAAATTGTTTCCTGGATTGGAAAATTGATCTGCGAACCACAAAATTTTCTTGTTGGCTGCAATTGAGAATCTCTGGGGTCAGATGCAAGATCTAGAGATCAATCTGTTCTAATACTGAACAAGATGCAGAGAAGACAATTATTTGTTCAGATTTATGTTTGAAAATTCTAATATAAGCATTCAAAAATTTAATCTTATCTTACAATTAAAAACATAGTAGTGTAACAATCATTGTAATTCTAAATTTTTGGTAACTTGTCTAATATTAATATTTCTTAATTTGTAATACAATCAAATTGACTCTAAATAAATATTTAAAAAATTCTGAAATTAAATTACAAATTAAGGTTTTAAACAGTTTCTATTGTTTCTATGTTAATTTACTGTTAGTTAAAGTATTAGAAAAATTTAGTGTGTTAGAGAAATTTGTTTGATGGAACAATTATATAACATTTTGTGTACACATTTTCAATAGATCAAAGTCTGCAGTGAAAAATTAAAATTTAAAACTTTGATGTTTCACATAAATTTATTTCCGTAATATGATATTTCAAAAACTATTATTTGTCAAAATTTATGTTCAATAAGAAAACATCAGAATAAACTTTCATGAAAAGTTTAAAGGTAAAATCTCATGATTTTTTATTTAACTTTATACAATCCATCATAATTGTTCGTGATGCGGCACACAGAACCGACTTACTTTCTCGGGCTCAACTCGTTAAAATATATACGTCCAACATTAATATTCAATAGATTTTAAATATCAGAATTAACATTAGGATGTACGAAATATTTAACAGTTATTTTTCCACTCTTCCGGAAACCGTCTTAAACACTATCTTACAAGCTATTCTATTTACATATGCTTTTTCTTGAAAATATTCTGGTAATTTTTGGGATTTGCTTTTGCTAATTTAATCCAGTCTCCCCCAAAATTGTCTGGGGAGGATCCTTCTAGTATAATGCTTTCTTAGAAAACATTCTACAAAAAATTTCCAATCTTAATACGTCCAACACAATAGAGTTTACTGTTTTTAAATTTATTTTTCAAAATTTTAATTAAAAAACGACAAAACACATCAAATGGTAGATTGTAGAAATATCTATAAAAATTATAAGAATCTCTTTAGACAACAATGCACACATCGGCTCTCACACACGTGGAAAATTATTCAAAGGAAGAAAGGTTTCTTTTGTCTCTCGTTCTACGTTTCAAATCTCTTTGCAGTATAAAAATTACAAATCAATAAAAACAGACACATACAAGAATCTACTACAAAATTTCTTGCTGATTTTGATGTTTCTTGGTCTCAAAACTATGTAATTTTCTTTAAAATGGATGACTAGTTACGGACCAGAAATTTCATCTTTTTCTATCAAACAGTTGTGTGAGATTATTTTCCACCAAAATATCTAAACACATAGTTATGCACATTTGGCAACAAACTAAAAGAATATAACACGTAATTATATCAAAAAATTTATTATTTATACAATTGTACGTAACAAGATGATTAATGCAAATTATCAAAAAATACTTTGTTATTAAAATGAGTGTCCTAAATGCACATTACTATGATTTACATTAGAAAAAAAAATTTCTAAAAACAAAAAAAAAAAAAAAAATATGGATTAAAAAAATTTTTTAATGTTTCTGTGCAATACATAACAAGTTGTTAGCATGGTGAGAAACAGTGCATCGTAATTCCTTTATGCGGGTGTCGGTGGAATGTTGCATTTTAAATTGAGTATAGTTTATTGTGTAAAAAATGCATGTTTTGTCTTAAAAATGCAGTCTGTGTTTTATTTGCAGCACATCTCACTCAAAGAGAGCCCCTGATTGTCAATATTTTGCAAGTTCTGAATCGCTTTATGTCGAATCGTCATAAAAAACCGGAATCCGAGAAAGCGAGTGTGCTTTTTATTTTATACGAAAATAGCATTTAGAGTAATAACGAGCTCCTCAAACCGTGCAACTGCGAGTGAGACACTCCAAATTTCTCGCGTTCAATTTATGTCTCACGCGTAGAATCTACGCTATTTGACAATTAAAACTACATTGGACAATGTTTTACATTGGCAACTTTTTCTATTGTGCTAATGCATCTAATTACCTAAATACAGAGGTGAGTCAAGCCTCGGCCTTACTTTCGGTCCCGTCATTTGGCAAAATACTCATTGTGCAAGTGATGCGGAAGTGACGTCCGTCCTAACTTTTGGCATTGTCGTCTATTTTCTGGACATCGAAGAACTCCTTTATTATTATTTTCTGTAACTTCATACTTTTAATGGAAGCACTAAGGTGTGGAAGAAGACGAGATCATATTTCTAATCTCCATTTTGGATGTGAGAGCAATTTTTTTTTGTTATGTACAGAGTGGCCAAGTACTTTTCCTTTTATTCTTGCACTAGATTTGACATTCAGATCAACGTGCTGGTCTATTCCTCCGAATAGCATTGCGAAGAACTAGAGCACTCTCGGCAGAAATGATCGGGAGTCCATTTTCACTATGGTAATTAATCAGATGACTGACACTTTCAAATGTTCTATCTTTAGTTCTTACCTGAAAAAGTTTCAACAATAAATTAATGATCGAATACATACCACATTAATCAATTAGTCATCAAGCAAGCTCTATTGATAACAAATGATTCTTCAGTTTTGGATATATAATGTTTTCAGAACAAATAATATATTTATATGAATTTTATGTCCTCCATATTTCTAATTAGTGAAGTTGTGCCATAACAGTACTGTATAGTATATTTATTATGATCTTTAAATAAATTTAAGGGCTTATTTGCATACAAATAATTCATCTTTAGCTTTATTACATTTACTTTTACAGTAGCTAATATTAAATAATTTATTCTATGACAAAATATTTCTGTAATTTAAAAAAAGAAACATTTTAAATTTTATTTAGTCCTTTTTTTTTGTGAATTTTTATTTTAAACTTTTTTAACATTTCATAGTACAAAATCAGGAATATTCACATTTAAACATTTTTTTTTTTTTTAGAGATATTTCTTAATCACTGTACATATCACATTTGAGCACAACTCAAGATAAGTCTTCTAATATGCTTTAAACTAGCAGCAAGCAGCTATAGATAATGGTGCAATTTCATCAAATTTGATGATTAATGACATGTGAAATGATAGGACTGTTAAAAATTGACCACAGTGTAACATGAATTTTGCATCATGATATTCTTTTCCATACCAGAACACATCATGACTCATGATATTATGGATGTTTCTGTACAGCCACAACATATTCTGGTTGATTTTTTTTTTGCTCAATGAGTGTTTTTGTGTGTGTTAGGCTCAAAGATGTATTAAAAGAAAAATTGTTTGAAATCCATCAATTTTAGTTTAATAAAAAGCAAGAACTAAGTTTGAAGATTTGAGATTATAGTTAGAAGTATAAAAATAAACTTTTATTCTGTTACTTATCACAATAACTTATTAAAATAAGTTTAAAAACCCACCACAAAAGGTTCAACTTTTAAACTTGTCTTAAAGGTTTTTTATATATTCCTAACTCATTGTTTAAAATTTTCTTGAAACCAAAATCAATTATTTTTCAAAAAAACACTTTTTGATACATTCAATACATCATCATTAAAAATATAATACAACAACAATAATGTACTTACTACTCCTTCGGGATCCACAAGTAACAAATGTTTGCGAATTCCATTCTGCATGCCAGTCAAGACATACTGTCCTGGAGAACCCTGAGATTCTCTAACTAGAAAATCTCCATCCCTAATCACCAGAGTTTCACTTTCTTTCCGGCTAATGGGGCCATGAAACCACTCTTCCTGCAACAAAACTGCTTTCTGATTCAGTCCTTTCCCAACTAGTGGTGCCTGACATCCAAGTTTTGTTGTGGTTGTGACCAAAGATGGAGATGAAGACGATGCACCCGATGCATGAGGTGGTGGACTGGGTGTGGATGTTGGAGTACGGTGACGAGGAGGTGGAGGTGGCAAGACTTCTTGTGGTGAGGGCAGACTATTGGCAAAAGGTTCTAGACATTTAAAAATAATTAAAACTGATGTGTATAATATACTTAACATTTTACAACTATATAATGTAAAATGGATTATTACAATTACTGTTAGTTTAGTGCAAAAAAGAAAAAAAAATTTAGATGATTTATTCAAAATGTAAGAAAAATAATTTTAAAGCCATTTTATCTATAAAGTTTGATTTACTCCATTTCTATAGACTGAATCAACTCAACAAAAACATATTCTTTAATAATTGTAGAGTATAAAGAGGTATTTGGTCATTAGCAATACAATTATAGTTAAGAAATTACATAGTGAAGTTATTCTGTAAGTTATTGCAATTGTAAATATTTTTATATCTTAATCATTCTTCAATATATCTAAATTCAATTAAAATCTGTTATCAGCAAAGCAATGTAACAAACAAATTAGAACAAGCCCATAAATTCACTATCATAAATTTCAAATAAAAAAATAAAATACTTACGCATGTCAAAAGGATCTTGCTTTGCATTACTGTCTTCACATGAAGTGTCAGATTTGATATCTTGCTGATTGGCTATGCGGGGCATGGTATTAACGTATTCTGTTTATATATAGAAAATTAAATTTTAAAATATATTTTATTCACTTCCTAGCTATTAAATATATTCAAATTTTTAAATTAATGCATTTTTCAACAATATAATTTAAGTTTAGTATTAAACATAAGTATGGATTAATTTCTTGAAACAAATACTTTCTGTATAATTACTTTAAAAAGAAAGGTGTATTTTTGAGTCATTAAATTTCAATTTTTAATTCTAAATTAAGTTTTTCTATCTGATGACTTATTCCACTACTAATAATAATTCTTATATTAGAATTAATAATTTGATTCACCACAAATATCCTTAAAATTAAGACTATACTTCCTTAATTCTAAAATGCACTTTTTTAAAATTCCTTTTACTTGTTGAAAATAAAAGTGCAGAACCAATGGCATCTTATTGGTTATTATACAAATGGAAGTCAGTATAGTTGACATAGTTGCACAAAAGACCTTTTTGATCAAAGTGTGAATATTAAAAAAAAAAGCGGTCAGACTTCTGAAGTAAAACTGAAGACTTCATAAGGGCTTAACAAAGTGGAATCCTCCAGATGAAGTCCACCTGAGTAGAGATGTGCACGCTCACAAATGAGATGCAGAAGAGTTTCCTCAGTAGATCTGAAAAAAGCATCAGGAGGCTGAAGAGGAAATTTTCAGTCAGCACAGATGTTTATGCACCAATAAAAGCTCATTGAGGTACAAACAGCACTTCCAAACAAATACTGAAGTAATCCAATGAGCAATGTAGATATTCTTATTACAAGGACCCCTTATGTAAAATAGCATGAACACACCTAATAATAGCTAGCAACTTTACTTGAAACCCAGTGAGACAAAAGCATCTAACTAACTACTCCCCCCCCCACAAATGTCAGCACCTCTACTGCTATCTGTTTTGGACCCATTTGTAAAGTAGACAAAATTTATTTATTACTATAATAATATAATAATTTATAAATTATAACAATTGGAAAAGCAGTAACAAAAGTAAATAAGTAACAGCATTGTATTGTATGTTTTGTTTATATGTAACAATAATAATAATTAGTAAAAGAAACTGAAATCTAATATCCAGAATTGTTTTTATACTCTTGAAATTATGCATTTATTTCAAAAGATTAGAATTCTTATTCTGTTTTTAGAAAATGCTTACCTGGCTCAGGTCTTTTTTGAATTCCTGAATTATGAATATCGGTATTTAAATCTATGAGATTATCAGCATCTCTTCTGATAGCTGTTCTAGCTTGGGGCACAGGTTGTGATGAAGATTTTGATGTTCCTGCTTCTTTAATAGCTGTATATACATCTCTTACCTACAGATGCATAAAGGCAAGACTTATTAAAAAGAATTGTTTGTTATAACATTTTGTACTTTATTGAAACTTTAATCATCATAACATTTATGAAGAAATTCAATATTTTAGAACTTTTTGCAAGGATTTAGATTTATTCACATTACAACATAAAAGTAATTTAATTAATAGACTATTTCAAGAACATGGTATCAATGTAGTTGTGACATTTGCCTGATAGTATAAATTAAATTGACAGTTTGTTTTTATAAAGAAACATTGCATCATGAATCATTCAGTATAAACAGCAAAATTCTGAAATAGTAAAAATTTCGATACACATTGATCTAAATATGATTTTGACAAAAATGTCAAATTTTCTATTTAATTGTACAAATTAAGCTGTAAAATAATTTATTTATATATTGAATATTTATTACAAAATTGTATGTTTAAATACAGTTAAAATAAGTAAATTAACTTGATTAACAAAATTACTATTATCAGATTACATTTAGGAGAATATATGGCTAAAAGTAAATGTATTTTCAGCCAAAACAGCTGCAAATTTTTCTTCAAGAAAGTATTAAATTAGCCTATTTAATTTAATCTAAATTTCTAATTATTAAATTTAACACAAGTTGTTAACCTAATCCCCTATCTTTGGTCAAACTACTTTGTCTAATCACTAACTAGCCATATTATAACTAAAGCTCAAGTGTAATCTAGCAATAGTTATTTGGTTAATTGAATTATTTGCATTGGTTGAGCATATTTACACACTAATTTAATATGATCCTGTTATGACTGTTTGCTTAAAATATTAAGCTTTTATTTTAAAACTATGATTTAAAAAGCATGTCCATTAATTATTTATTTAATTTTTATTTCAAAATATTAAAAAGAAAATTGATTCTCTTGCAAATCTAGTGCTTATTTTGTTTAATATAAATATAATCTGACCAGAAACATATTTCTATTATAGAAAAACAATACTTCAGTTTACATAATTTAATAAAATGTTATTGAATTTAATATGCTTAAGATAGCAACCGTAACATACTTATTGTGCTAAAATCATGTATTGAGTTAGATCACATTGCAATTTTTAAAGGTAAAATTTCAATATCACAATTTGTAATTAGGATAAAATAATTGACAGAATTATTCTAAAAAATCATTTTTGTCAATTATATAGTAGAAAATTAATAAAAATACATTGACTCTCATTTAAATGATTGTATTTCATATAAACTAATCCTTAAGATTATTATTTTAAGTTTGTGAAAATTACTATAATTTATTCAATACTGTATTTTCACAGAATGACTGGCATGCCGCATATAAATGGGTGAGACCAGCATGCCAGTGAAACTGTGACTAAAATATAAAATTAACCACATCTAACAAAACTAGTTGTTAATGAAACATTAAAGAAAGCATTGTTCAAAGTACAATAAAATAATAACATTGTTTTATTGTGTTGTAAATGAAAAATCTCTTCCTGATTTTAAGTTGGTCAAATTACAATGACTTATTAGTGGTGGTAGTAGTAGTTAGTATAGACTACACTGACCATCTACCCAAAACCTTAAAAATAACACCTTCCTCTCAAATTTCACACAGAGTCCATGTTAATGGGTGTAAGCAGAGATAATTTATAAGGAGTTTCTTAAATTTAGTATGTTTATTTTTGCATTTTTTAATCAAATAACAATAAAACATGTAAAAAACTCTTGAAATTTTGAAAGTGCTTTTTTTATCATTAGAAAGAAAACAAAATAAAGAAATTAAACATATAATCATAGTTTTTGATATAATGCTGACAGTTTCATAGTTTCAGAATAAAAATTCATTCATTTTTTAATGTACCCTCTAGAGAAGGATCTATAACCTCACCTTAAACTGGCATGCTGGTAAAAACCAGCATGCCAGTTTAAAATATCTGATTTTATGGTATTCCCAGATAGACTGGCATGCCAGTCATTCCACAAAAATACAGTACTAAATATGACTAGAATATAGTAAATTCTTGATCCCAAAATTATTCAAATTCAACAATATTTGCATGTAATCAGCTATTAGATTTAAATAACTTCTGAAAATATATCAAAGTTAATGTATATAACAATAGACTGTTATAAGGATATTAGTATATATTTAATTACAGTGTGGAGGTATGCAAATGGTCCACTTGCTTTGTATTTACAGTTTCAAAGTGGCTGTGTTTTGTTAACTCATCTGCAGCCTTTCATATTCATTTAATGAAAAATCTTCAATATTATTTTTCATTTTAAAACTAATAGACAAATGTCTAAACAACAGTTCAAAATTAAAACAATTTAAAAATTCTTAGAGAACAGTATCTCTTCCTGTTTTGTAGAAAATTTCATTGATAGTGTGTAGTGTCTGAGTTTCAATATAAAAGAATAATTGTATTCTTAAGACAGGTTTGCAAATTTTTTCTTTTAAAACAAGCCATCTGAAAGCATTCTTTTATTTATTTTTTCTAAAATAAAACTAACAGCTCTGACATATTTCTTTCATTTGTTATGATCAATCAAAAAACAAGTTTGATAACCTTACTCCATTTGAAAAAAAAAAACTTTTAAATACAGGATTCATACAGGTAGTTCCATCTGTGACTCCCTGACTTTAATCAGTCAGGAAAAGTTTCTGTATTTCTCCTTTTCATTATGTAATATCCAACCAAGTCTATTTAAGCCCATTTTGCACATTATATAATTTTTTAAAATTAAAAAACATTTTATTCACTTCTTACTAAAACTGAAAAACTTCACAAAAATTGATTATGTAATTATCTATGTCATATAAAAAAAATTTCATAATTTTTATTTAAATTAAAAAAAAAGACATGCATTGTGTCATAAAATTGAATTTTCTTAAAACTAGGAGGTAGGAAATTAAAAATAATTTAAACAGAATAAATCGCACACTCCATTAGGGGGAGAAATCACTTATAGTGTGCTATTTTTGATCCAGCACAGACCCATTTCGTGGTCATTACATTTCTTCTTATCCCTCCCTGAAACTTATAAGGAGAGCAAGAGTTTTGATGGAAAAGCAGGTCATTGATGGAGTTTTTGATAACCCGGCTTTAACTGTATGGTGATAATTTGGTATATTTCCAAAAAAGTGGACTTCCGAAATTTCGCAGGTTGTCTGAAAATGAACATTTTCAGTCAGGGAGAAGACATCGCAGATCGTCAATCCATCAAAATTGGCAGAATTATCATTTCCACATACCATATGTGGCCAGCAGTGAAAAATACAATGAATAAAAATATATGAATTGCATGAGATCTGCCATGCGGTCCAAACTGTCCTGTACACAATATTGTTAAGCCGACTGACAGTTCTTTATCTCCTCCCATGGCATCAGCTGACTGCAATGGGTTAACCAGTTTGCAACCATTTAAGGCATGATCCATCTTTGGTTTATTACAGGAAGGATAAGATTTAAACAAATAAAAACTTGGGTGCTTATCACATTCCAATTCAATATCTATTGATTCAGGCAGTGACACACTCAAAATATTGTCAAAGTTGATGCGCTCTGTTTTCTTACACACACTATACAATCTGCATGTTTAGGCATTAGTCATTTTGGGCTTTTCTGATTCCTTTTAAATATTTCTTTCCAATGATAGACATTTCTTAAATTTCTGTTCATATTTCCTTTGCAATTTCTTCAACATTGTGAAAATTTTCTTCACCTCACACACTTATTCGCTGATAATTTTACAAATTCTATTTTATCAGTTATTATTGCTAAATAATATTGTAGATTGTCATTCTGTACAAATCAACACCAATTTCAATATTCTCTCTCTTCACAATCCAGTTGGAAGTTATATACTGCCCAAATGCTGTGCGACATGGCCATTTTCAGTGTTCATGTGCAACTGCAAACTTCCTCGTGGTTGCTCCCACTACTCACCATTTTAAATAAGAACATAAACCCTCTTATCCAACAAAATTTTAATTGTTAGATTTTCATATCTAGTTTACAAGATAAATCTTGCCATTCTTTTGGTCACTACAGTTTTTGTAGACTCACTATACCAAACCGAATTTAAAGATGAATCCAGGTCAAAAAAGGAGTGAGAACGACAGATGGATTCCCTGACTTTCCCTGATATTTGATGCCATTCCATGCTAAAAATCTTATTCCCCAACTTTTCAGGTCTGTACAAACCCTGTAAATACTTTAACACTACCACTTAAAGATATGAACAAAATTTAACTTATTTAAAACATTTAAAAACAAAAAAAAATATGAATAATAAGTAACATTTCTGTTTTTGATTTTCTAAATGTCAATAAAAAAATCAATTTTTTAAATTTAAAATTTTAAGAATTAAGTATAATAAAAACTCAGATTAAAAAATAAAACAATATACAGTAGAGCAGGGGTGGCCAACACGAGGCCCGCGGGAGTCATGTTGCGGCCCGCGGAGCTAGGTCAAATGAACGTAAATGTTAACTTTATTGTACATATCACCAAAAGAACATTACGTCATGAGTTATTCATATCATGTATTTTTAAATTATAGCTACGAGAAATTTGAAATATCTCTCATTTTTGGAAAAATTCATAAATCTTTAGCTATTTCAAATATCCCGCGATATATGTTCTGCTATACATGTTCTTTGGTCTTCGGCGTTTTCGGGAAGCTTGCAATGCTATCGGGTTCATACTCATAACTACTTTCAGTCCAGCTTGACAAAGTTCCGTGTTATTCTGTAGTTTCGTTTTATTATCGCTAACGCATCTGGAGAGATTTTGCAATCGACGTTAAAATACATATTTAACATATTTATAATTACAGGTACAGTTCAAACTACTTTAACCAAGTAGTCTGTCTACCATATCCATTCCAATTCCAATCCAGATAGAGGAGTGTTATAGCTATTCGCTTTTCACTCCTGAAGAAACAGTGAGGAAGAGTCGGTCTTATAGAAGACGACCTATCCGAGGAAGACAGGAGAAAGGTTACTACGTAACCAAAGCCGGTCTTATAAGAGACGACCCTCGCGAGAAAGGGAGACAGAATGCCTTCCGGGAGGACTTGGAGGGAAAGCTGGCCCCTATTCAGGCGTCATTGGCAAGGAGGAAAACCCGGAAAAACTCCCGCTGCCAGCTCGTGCGAGTGAGGCGCGAACCCCCGATCGAACTCCGGTGTTTAGGGTCTGGTCACCACTAACAAGCGGAGACGGAGACGGAGTCCACTCGGCCACCGGTGGGCCACCATATCCATTCTATAAGTAAGTAAACCCTAAAACGTTGGAGAAATTCCATCAAGTTGGTTTGGAAAGAGTTCTATGAAACGTATTTGGACAAGAATAAATATCCTGCGTTTTACAAACATGCTCTGTCGATGGTTTCGCTATTTGGTAACACTTATGCGTGTGAACAACTTTTTAGTCGCATGAAGTACATCAAATCACAATTGAGATCACGAATTACTGATGTTCATTTGAAAAACTGTTTGCGTGTAGCGACATCATCAGTGGAGATCAATTTTGATGCGCTTAGTTCTGTAAAACAAAGTCAGATGTCTCACTTTTAAATATTTATAAATTGCCTAATAAATATGTTTGATTCTCGGTTATGTTTTATTTTCTTCAAAAAAATAAATATACCTATTTTTTGTGTTTTTTTACATTAAACCAGGCAAGTGTTTGACCACGATCTCACCTACTGGGAAGCGATGTTGTGGTTGAAGTTGTAGCACGCTTGCTTGTTTACTTTAATTAAAAAAAAATTAGGTGCGTGGCCCGGCAGGAAATATTATTCCTGAAATTGGCCCGCCTTCTGAAAACGTTGGCCACCCCTGCAGTAGAGCGTCGTTTATCCGAAAGTTGGTTATCCGAAAGAATTCCAGTTGGCAAATTTAAATTTTCATTAGTGCTGTAGCGCTGCAATGTTTGGCTATATCTTGGTCTACTCCAATATTTTTTATGTTTGTGTTTGTGTTTTAGCTGGCAGCACTGTCACTTTTGTGTGGTGTTTTTCCAAGGACTGTGTGTCATGCTGAATTGAACGTTTTTGATACTAGATAATTTCTAAAGTATAAATTTTTTTTGTTTTTATATTTTTCAATATAATTATTTTGTTTGTAAAAAATAAAGAAATCATTTTTAACGATACAATAGCCACGATTATTATTTTAAAAAGTTTACCTTAGGCTTAACATTGACGAAAATTCAATGCAAAGCAACACGCAACGGAGAAAAATTTCAACACGGGATAGGTTAATGTATTTTTTCATACATAATCGGTTATCCGAAAAATAAGTTATCCGAACAACCCCAGTCCCCAATTGATTTGGATAAATGACGCTCTACTGTATAAAGTAGTCACAGTTTTGATTCATGAAGGAATTAAAATAAACATTATTATAAAATTTTACACAATTTTTTTCTCTGTTAAAAAGACAATTTAAATACCTCATCTCCATTAACAGAATTATGATAATCAGGCAAAGGTGGAACAGGAGGAGATGCTTCTGGGGGAATTTTTCCTGGTAAATCATTATAATATTCAGGATCTTCTCCCCATGCAGAATCATTTCCATTAAAAACAGGATTTTCTAATCTTAAATAAACAAAACTTTTTAGAAATTAAACTATATATTTTTTAAAAGAAATGTAAAGATGTTAATATTTAAAATTCAAACAATATACGTTATTCCTACTGTCTTATACTATACTATTTATCCAAAAAAATTCATCTTTTATTTTGAACTAAAATATTAAAAATAGTAAATTGTCTTTGTATTTAAGTTACATTTATAAAATATGTATTGTATATATTCATGTAAAAGTGAAATTTTTTAGAACATTTTTTAAGGTAAAATTTATGGGGTCAACTATTTATAGAAATAGAAATTAATTAAATTAAATTAATTAGGCATGTCTCAGACACCAAAATTATACAGAACAGTTCTGATGATAATCGTGTAAAATGTCAAAATTTTCATCAAATATACTTAATTCAATATTTACTTAATTAAATTAATTCTATTTTAAAGTAACTGTCCAAAACTATTTAAAAAAAAAAATTAAGACAGACATTTCATGTTCAATAAATTTATGTATAAAGCTGATTTAATAATTGAAATAACTAACATCTTGTGATTAACACCTAAACAATTTCAAACAGAATAAATTCTCTAGTTAAAAAAAAAATAAATAAATAATTACAGAAATATATAATTTGTGATTTTTATGCTTAATTGCTATAAAAATAAATTCACTTATTGATGATTTTATATTATTTCAGAACTGATTAGTTCAACAGCAACCAACAAGAATCATTCAATTCCTTCAGTATTTTAAAAAAGAAGATAATTTCAATTGATAACATCTCACAGAGATTATTCATAAATATAAATTAGACATAAATTAAAGGAATGCACAAGATAATTAAGAAAATCTTATCTGATGATATGAAGTGTACAGATTTTTAAACAATGTTTTTAAACTAAATTTTAATAAATAAATTTTTACTTACTATATGTATATTTGTACAGTCTACCCCCCTATAACACTGTCGATTATTCCGTTTTATATGAATTCCATGTTGTACGAGTCACTTAGATTTTACAAATACGTGAGCCGTTCATAGCCCGGCACACATATTTGTAAAATCTAAGTGACTCGTACAACATGGATTCATATAAAATGGAATAATCGACAGTGTTATAGGGAGGTCGACTGTATATTTCAAAACAAATTCGGAATTTTAGTTTAATATGCATATATTTTGCCATTAAAATAAATAAATGAAAGATAATTTTATTTATATACCTATCAGGAACATTGATTGCCCTTGGTGTTCTCTTCAAGAATTCTTTGAACCTCAATTCAAAAGCTTGCCCTATAGTTGTAATTACATCTTGGGCTAAACCTCCTCCACATTCAAGTACAAAACATGCTCTACCATAATGATGATCCTTGGCAACATAAGCAATAAAATCCAAGGTATCCTGAAATTACGTTACAATTAATGTATTAAAAAAGTAAAAAGTTAAATTATTATAGCACTAATAATTTATATGTACACAAACTCTTTTTTTTCATCTTGAGTGAAAAGATGAACTAAATTATAAGGATCTGAATCAGATTTAAATCTGGATGCTTTTTATCAAACAATCTAAATGATTATTTTTGGAAAAATAAAATTACTGGTGTAACAACACATAGAAATAAAGATATTTACATGGGATTTTTTAATTTCAATAAATCTTAAAAGTAGTTTACAGTTGAACACAGTTCTACAAAATGCTAAAAACATTATTTAATGTTGCTACAGAATTAATAATAATAGTATCTGTATTCTAAAGATTCAATTCATAATAGTAAACTTAACTGTACAATTATTTGCAACAATAAAATTACAAAACTTACAGCATCTCCACCAGAAGCAAATGATATGTTTGGCATTTCATGGTTAGCAATAATCTGAAATCATAACAGGAAAAATGTTTATTAAGATTAATTAAAAGTTCTTAAATGTTTAATCTTAAAAACAAGAAATAAAAAACATATACATTCATAAACTTACTTCACCAGACTCCATAACTGTGAGATTTAGATAGGAACTAGTAATTGTTAAATTAATATTTGATCCAGCATAATCCATATTTGGTTTATCCGCCAGCATTCGTGTTACACGTTTTTCCACCTGTAAAGTATGAAAGTTTAAACTGTTAACTATCACGATTATACTGACTAATATATAAATTAATAAGATTATCAATAGCAAATACCAGTTATGTTAATGGTTTCTCAAAAATGCACTATTAATTTGTCAACGTATTAGACAAACCAATTTTTTTCTTAAATTCTATGTAATTTTCTTAACAAAAAAATCAATGTACACTTTAAATTTATTTTTAGACTTTTGGAAATTTAGCTGATAGATAATTTGATTCAAGTTAAATCATGTAATATATGTCTTATTCAAAATAAAACAACAAACTTAAAAAATTTTGCATTAATATATAGCATCTACATGCAGCCCTCAAATAAAATAAGAATCCTCATCAGCATTTTTTGAATATTCAGACATCTTAATTTCTATAAAGTTTTTTTTTTTGAGGATAAATATTCAATCAAAACAAATGCTCTTTCTTGCTTTCTGATTTTAGATTTCAATTTTTAATGTAACTGTAATATCTATACATAACAATCAATAAACATTTAATTCTCCAACACTTGTTCTCTATTGTGAATTAGTACTTTCAATACTTTGATGAATTATCTTCTGTTTCAACTTATATTAGTATAAATTGTCATTTCAGATTTCAAATATGAACATGAAAAACAAAATAAGAAAATAATTATTGAATTTACACAACAACAAATTAGAATTAAGTTAAGTAAAAAAATATTGATAATGTTTATTTGGTTGGTTAATTAATACAAATTTCAGTCACTAAAATATTTGAATTAATTTATACTTGAATATTACTTCTGAATTATGTAACTAAAAGGTTCAATAAAAATATAATTCACAAAAAAAAATTAATTGTATTCTTTACATTAAAAATAATCAAAATCTAAAAAAATGTATTTAACATTTTAAAAAGTTACTTTCAAGTTTATTGAATTTTTAAGTAGAGAAACTATATAAAATTTATTAAATATGACTGGTGTATGAATTTTCTTGAATCAAAGACTGTTAGTGGAATCATTTATCATTCTGTACATTTGTAATATAGATAAAACTGAATACTATTCTTAGATGAAACAATTGAATCAACTTGAATTTGAATAAGAATAATCTTCAACTGTTCCCATAAATTAATTATACTTTTTTTATTTTTTTGAATTAGCTTATTTCTACTTCTATTATATAAAAAGTAAATGACTGATTTTGAAGATGTCTATAGTGTCTGTCTACATTAAAAAGGTATCTTCAAAATAAATTTCAATTAAATATAGTGACTTATGCAATGTATATTACTATTTTATCAAGTTTTAGCAAAAGAAATCCATTATTAAATAAATAGCAAATCATATTATTTCTAAACTTTAATACTTTTATCATTTGGTCAATTAAATTTCTAAAAATTTTCCAGTTTAATATAATTTAATTATAGATTTTAGAAAGACTTGTCTGTTCAATTTATTTAACATCTTAAGTTTACCTCAAATTTTCACAAAACATTTTAAAATTCTTAAATAATCAAACTACATGGAAATTTTTATTAAATGGGTAACAGATAGTAAGAGCCCATTTTATAATAAATAAACTATAAAAATAATAAAATTATAGTATAATTTTCTGTATAAATACAATATAACAATTCATTGTCAATTTTGAAATATTTCTGTGTAAAAGATTCTAAGAATAAATATAGTTATGAAAAGTAAATTTAATAACAAACAAAATAAAAGATTAAATATTCTGAGCAAACAAACTGACCGAAATTATAAACGTTATAAAAAATATACTAGCATAAATCTTAAAATAATTGACATTTTGACCCTTTAGATCCAAATAAAACTATTTACCTTTCTCTTCTTATCCACTGTTTTAAGACCAGCTGACTCACAAACTCTGTTAATACATTCTCTAAAAAAATTATTATTAAGTAAATTAAACGAGTGAAATCAAACAAATTACAATATTTGATATCAAAATCAATAATTTATTATGGAAAAAGTACTTGTATGTATATTTAAAATGATTTAGCATAAAAATACAAAAGGATAGCAACTAACTATATGATGAAATCCTTAATTACATTTAAATTCAAATCTATTTAGGCTGTATGTATAAAATTAACAATAAACAACATTTGTAAACTGTTATTTAATTTATAACTAAAATTATTGTAGTAGTATAGTAATATAAAAAATGAAACTAGTAATTGAATAGTAATTTTTATAATTCATTAATGTATATGTTACAGTTCATGTGATAAATCCAGTTAGTACTAATAATAACAGCCTAATATTAATAATAGTAACTGCGTCTTTTGGTCGATGTGATTAATAACACACAATAATTATAATTATCAGTAAATATTAATAATTACCAATGAAGCCTGGTGAATTTAATAAAAATATGTTTTATAATATTTATTGTTTTTATTTATAAGATGATACATTTGTTATTTATTACATAAACAAGTTCTTAATATGCATAATACCTGTTTACTTGTTTTTAACTGTTTAATAATATGTATGTCTTATTAGACAGTTAAAAACAAGTTTAACAAGTGGTCTTATTTTTCATAAATTGAATGAATTTTGTTCCTTTTGACTATTTTGTTTGTTTCAAGCCAGGTGGATAACATTTTTTCAATGTCCTGGTTTGCTCTTTCAACTGAGTCTTGTTATTGCTTATGTCTTGGCTTTCCAAGAACAATTTTGAGTTCATCCCATATTCCAGAAACTTCTTCAATAATTTTGTTAGTGAATTCAATTCCCAGTCATTTTCACTTTGCAAGATGCATGGTACTCCAAATATTGAACACATCCAATAGATGGTAAGCAACTTTCTTGGCTTTTCTTTTTATAGCTCTTAATTGAATAAATTTTGTTAGATGGTCTTGATAAACCACTATAAATTTATAATCTCCATCTGCTTGTGACTGCACGTCAATGAGATCAATCTGACATCTCAATTTGAATGCACTGCTTTTAATTGATTTAACAATGAGATCTTTTTTTGGAATGCTTTATTTCTTTTGACAAGGTTCACAAAGATTTAAGTATGTCATAACAATTTCTACTGTAATGTTTTTATACTTTGTCTTAAGCTCTTTCATCATTCTGTTTCATCCTCTTTGTCCAATTGCAATATGGATCTCATGAATTATTTGAAAACTCTCCTCCATAAAACTGTAATATATAATCAGGTTTTTTCATTTTTAACTGGTACAAATGGTTTTCAACACTTCCAATTCTTATAATATTGTACCTTGATAATCGTTAGTAGTCTTCTGGTAATTTGCCAGAAAGCTTCTCTTTATTCTCCAACTTTCACTAAAAATAAATAATACTTTTCTCTTGTAAATAACTGATAAGTTTTCCTTTTTTTTTTTTTTTTTATTTTAGCAAGTTAATATGATTGTTACATTGTGTCTTCATTACTTCTAAATCACCCATTATGCTTATGGGTAATGTAAACTTACAAGGGGACCTTACGGTCTCGGAAATTCAGTTTGGGATGAGACTTCACAGGTTAGTAGTATACCTCAAGGGTGTCCACCCAGAAGAATTGTAAAGTGCACTAGCCAGAAGATTCCGAGAAAAAGGGCTCTAAAGTTTTAATCGCAGCTCATATACTGGTCAATTTTACACTATGGTAGTGCAGCAAAATGGCTGATTCTGTAGTGAACTCACTTGAAACGTGGGCAATCTAGATTTGATCCTAGCCTTAACTAACTTTTTTTTTTTTTATTGTTTTAAAAATTATAACAACTTTTAAATAAAGTTAATGACCTAAAAATATTATCAATTAAATCATAAATAATTTTATTTTATTTATGAAATGTCTATTACAGCTAATTAAAATGTGAATTAAAGATATTTTATTTTTAAAAAGTAGAATAATTTCAAATGCATTTTTAATGGAGGTAAATTAAAACTTTAATTACTATTGTCATTAAAAAGTTATTACAGTACAAATTTTAAGATATTATAAGCTGTGGAGAGGTTAAAAATATTTGTTGTAAATTTGAGGAACCGGTTTCTAGGTGGATGAGTAGAGTATAGCTGTTATCCTATTGTACATAGGCAGATGGTCATTTCATAAATAAAATTATTTATGATTTAATTGATAATATTTTTAGGTCATTAACTTTATTTAAAAGTTGTTATAATTTTTAAAACAATTAAAAAAAAAAAAAGTTAGTTAAGGCTAGGATCAAATCTAGATTGCCCACGTTTCAAGTGAGTTCACTACAGAATCAGCCATTTTGCTGCACTACCATAGTGTAAAATTGACCAGTATATGAGCTGCGATTAAAACTTTAGAGCCCTTTTTCTCGGAATCTTCTGGCTAGTGCACTTTACAATTCTTCTGAGTGGACACCCTTGAGGTATACTACTAACCTGCAAAGTCTCATCCCGAACTGAATTTCCGAGACTGCAAGGTCCCCTTGTTAGTAAAAGTGTAGAAATAATTATGCATGTATTAGCAAGTAATAATGAAAGCAACTTCAAACTAACAACACAGAGCATCTACATTGTAAGACACACCAATGCAGTAGCATTTACAGTCATACAAATGCACAATGGCAAGTCTCAAGCCAAACACATTGAGAATTATTATATTTACCATTCATAGTTGCAAACTATTAATAATCACCGGTTCATATAATAAATTGTTATAAATTATACAATTTAACATTTTTATTTGGTTACTGTTTAATATTAGCTGGTTATTATTAATATAAGCCAATTAATCACATGAACAATAACACACATACTATTAAGTTTGTTTTTCAACAACTCAATTTTCATATTTAAATAATATTTAATACAAAAACCTCTGTTTAATATCATAAAATTATATTTGTTTATTTTTCAAATAATTCATTGAATACTTCCTGACTATGACAAACAAAAATCTAATAAAGGAAGACAAACAAAAATCTAATAAAGGAAAACAAACAATATATTATGGTATTATGAAAGTTTTTTTTTTCAATCTCCACCAACATATGAAAAAAAATTGGAAGCACGTGAGAAAGGGGACAGTGTGCACACCTAGTGAGTAATATATTCTCTCACCACTTAGTGTTGTGCCAAGTTATTTTAGACATTTGCTATTCTGCAGTAAATATGATGCCGCCAATCCAGTTTCCCGCAGAAATCAAATTACTGTCTGAAGTATGAGCAGTAATTTCAATTTCTACAAGTCAAAGGGCTGAATGGAGGTGAAATTCATTAAAGGATGTGTAATGTATATAGTGAGAACCTCATGAGCTACGGATGTGTGCGTGAATGGTGCAGGAAATTCAAACAAGGATGTGACAACATGATGAGGGCAGTCAAGAGAGAAGTGTGTGATGACTGACGATTCGGTAGACAAAGTGGATCAACTGGTGTGAGAAAGGCATCAGTTCACAATTTCTGAGCTTAATGAGGAGTTTCCTCAAATTCAAGGTCCACACTAACTGCTGACTGACAGTGTTAAAGTTTGGCTGAATGGCTGGCAGCATTGTTCTTCAACAGGGGTATATAAAAGCTGGTGTCACAGTATGATGTCTGCCTGAATCGACAAGGCAATTATGTGGAAAAATAGGTGAAGACTAACTACCTTCTACAGATAGTGGTTTTGTTCTTCATTCTTGTTTTTTATTCTGTGTCAGTGAAGGTTGAAAAATAATAATAGCCCCCGTATCAAAAGAGTTATCATAATTTAATATTCCAAAAAGGATATAAAAATATATTTAATAATGTTTAATTATTTAATGAATATTATATTCATTAAACAATTATACATCATTATATTTGTGAAATATTATGCAATAATAAATAATTGGCTTTTTCATCTTAATTTCAGAATTATTTATAAAATAAATTATTTTAAGGATATAACATACATTCTTTATAAAAATAAAAATATTTATTAAAATAGTTAACTATCTTATGCTAAAACTAATTTTTCTTAAGATGTTAAAACTAGTTTTAACATCTTAAAACAAGTAAGCACAATATATAGCTAACTCTCACTTAACAACTTTAATTCATTCCTGAATATTCTGTTGCAAAGCAAAAAGTCATTAAATGAATAAGCAAATCCCATTAATCTCAATGGGAAAAATTCTATGGATTTTTCAACTTACTGGATTTGTTCCTGGGTCCTCCAAAGAAATAGGCTGATACCTTAATGCTTGGTCATTCAGCTGTCCATACATCTTAAAGAGTATTGAAGCATATGCAAGCATTTTTGAAACTACATTATAATTAGCTATAAAATCATGAACAAAGCTTCTTGTCTATATTGTCCATAGTTTATTTCATCTTAATACAGTAGAGCCTCGAAAACTCGGCACTCCAGATAACTCGGCCACACCCTGGCAGGGCAAAAAAATCCTTAGTTAATTAATTTTCATTATAGACAGCTTTATGCCTCAAAGTATTTTTCTGGGGTCTGTCATATCAGGTAAATTACTGTACACAGTGTATTCATTAATTTTCATTTTCATGTAGTAAAGGCTCTATGCCTTCATAAAGGTCTTACTTTTCCTTTGTTTAAGGGTATTTGGGCAGTTTATTCTCTGTTGTATTCTCAAGTAAACAATACATACAAATACATTACAGTATTTTCTGAGGAAACACTCATACTTAGTTTTTTTAACCCCATTCCTGATAACCCGGCATTTTCACAAACTCGGCCACCCTTCAATCCACATTAGGCCGAGTTTTCGAGGCTCTACTGTAATGTCCAAAGTTTTCTTTGCCGTTTCTTCTTCATCAGACAACCTATTTTTATATTCAAGTTCAATTAATAAGTTCATAATCATGATATTGCAAAATTCATCAATGCCATCTTCATTAACTTTCTGGAACAATCTCTCTTGCAAGAACCAAAATCTTTGATTTGCATCAGCCACTTCATTAAAGTCTCTAATATCTGTGACAAATTAAACATAGTTTTTTCCATACAGAATTTGTTGTGGACTCCCTTTTCAAATTGTTGCAACTTTTTCATTATCTCTTCTTCTTTCAGCATCATTTTCATCTTTATTTTTTCAACTTATTTTCAGCTCATCATTATAACACTCAAAATTTGTTTTAAAAATTCCTTTATAGCAAAATAAAGACTATATACAACACTTTAAAACATAGAAATTACACATATACACAACAGACTGAAGATTGTTGTCAGTTTCAGAATAAATCAGTGAATTTTTTTTATTAAAAGCTTTTTGGTTAAAAAACTAAATCATCATTATGCTGAAAAAATGGAGTCATTGCCCAACAAGTAATATAATTTTTCAAAAGCAGTAGAGCAAAAAGTCATTAAATGAGGGCTAGCCTTAACTAATATCAAATTATTTAGCAATATTCAAAATATAATCAAATGTGAAAAATTAAATATACAATAGAAACATTATACAGTAACAAAAATATTAGCATTATCAAATTTAAATTACTTTCATACAAATAAATTTAAATATATATGCATAAATATTATATATTAACTGATATGAATTAGTAACTTTGAAAAAATGTATCATTCTTTTGGAATAAATCTTGCTAAATGTTAGCGAAATTGTGCCAAATATTTTAGGTTCTAATTCTACAATTTTATAAATTATTAATATCATTTAAAAGCTAGAGATAAACAATGCTGTTTTATTTTATTAAATTTAATAATTAAAATTAATTTAAAACATCTAGAAATAAAACTGACCTGGAATAGGATTCAAACTACAAAAATGTATTGAACAGGTATAGACCAATCATTCTGATGATGCAATTGGTAATGTACCTGTCTAGCTGACATAGTTAGAATCTCATTCAGGTTCAATTTTTATTTCTAAATGTATTAACATTTTAATTCATTAAATTATTATTGTTATTGTGAGAGTGCTAGCAGACTAAATGTGCACCTCAATCTAAAAAACCTAGCAACGAGAGTTGCGTAACTTTCCCGGCTGTTATAAAAGATATTTTAAAATAAAAACTCATATAATATATTAATCAAAAAAATAAAATTGTGTGTAGCACCATCTGTTATCAGATTTTGTTATAAAAAACTTTTTATATTTTTAATACTATAAAATGGCAAAAAGCTTAATTTTGAGGGTAGGGAGGAGCTTTATTAAAAATTGTAAATGTTAATAACAAAAAATCTTTATTAAGATACATGACCCCCCTCTATCTCCCCACCCTCGACATTTCACCACCAAAATTTAATAGCATTAATGCCCCTCATAAAAACCACCATGCCATATTTTGTTTCTTAATATTTACCCCATCCTAAGATATTAAGTGAAATACATTCCAACAGACACACATATAGAATTTTTTTTACTTTTTTGAATTCAGGAAGTCTCAAAATATGATTAGCAAAAAATTTCCGATGGTCAAATTTGACACAATTCCAATACATAAACAGCTGGGAATGTAAAAATCCATCATACACCCCATAAGAGATTATTTCAAAGAAGTCTAATCATTTATTTTAAGAGAAGAGAACAAAACTAGATCTCTGAAGGAAAACTGAGGGATGTCACAAAGGCTCAACAAAGGGAAACCCAGATGAACAAGTCTGTCTGAGCAAAGATCTGCACACTTACAAAGGAGATATAGAAGAGTCAACAGATCAGAAAAACAGAAAGCTGAGGAGGAAAAAAGTTTCAGTCAGGACTGATATTTAGAAGTGACAAAAACCAGTCACAACACCAATCAAAAGCCAAATATGATTTTTGTTGAAAGCCAAAAGATCCTTAGTTTGCCCCGAAAGCAGGCTAGGGCAAAAGCATCTTGCTCTGTTTTAAACCATTTAACTGTTTTAAAGGGTTGATCACTGCTTAGAATAATTAAAAATAGTTATTAAATTTAATACAGATTAAGCACTTAACTTTAATTTAATCTAAATAAAAAGATAAATAAATTTAATTACTATTGCCACAATATTAATTGTACCTCTTTTTGTTATATTTAATTTGTAAAGTTTTCTGATTTTAAACTATTTCAAATAAATAATTCTAAATTAAATTTACTAAATCTACAATAAGACAATTTCAAAGTACAAAAAGAGAGAACATATTTTAATGTCTTAAATGACACTAGATAATTAAATTATTTAAATAATTTAATCCAGTTGTTGTTCATGTACAATAAGGAATAATTAATATATGTAAAGCTTCCAAACATAATTAAAATAAATTACAATGACAAATTTAAAATAAACAATAACAAAACTGGTTTCTAAAAATTATAAATCATATCAATACAATAATTTTAACTAAAAATTAATTCTACTTTTTAATAATTAAATATAAAAAATAAATTAAATTGTTATAATAAAACTTGAAAAAAAAAAACCCTTACAAATTCATATTCATATAAACATCTTGTTTTGCCAATTACTAATACTCCCATCATAAAAAAATAATACAATAATTATCACTCACTCTATAACTAATTCAAAATTGAGTTATAAGTTATTAATAATCACAAAATTATCATGTTTCATTATTTATATTTAATATTAAGTAAGTAATAAATTTAATATTCAATTATTAAATAAATTTAGAACAAAGAAGAAGAAGAAAAAAGAATAACCTCTGAAATAAAACGATGTCTTTTTTGAAATATAGTTATTTTTTAATAGTTTTATTTATTTGAAAAATAAGTTTATAACATATAGTACTTCTTACTTGGAGATATTTAAAAAGAATATACAAACAGAATAAAATATCAGACTTGGATTGGATCATTTCAAAATTTATTTTATAAATCTAAAATAGTGTAGACAATAAAACACTATCTGCAGACAAGAATAATGAATTTAATTAGGATGGGTGCAAATACTCAAATACTAGAATGTATTTCAGATTTGAGATCTCAAATATTGCATTGATAAAAGATAAATCTGAATACTTCAAATACCTCCAATATCATGCCATATGTACAGTACTGTACAGTCACATTGGTGAATCCAGAAGTGCCCAAACAGGAACTAACTCAAAAATGTAAAATACTTGAATGGATTAAATACTTTTCTTTGTAGAAAAGGGCTGGCAGAATTACTATTTAATAAAAAGTAAAATACATCTGGATACGAGTCCAATTTTGCTTGCCATGTCCAATCACCAGGAACAACTATTTCCATTGCAGAGACAACCTTTCTTTAGAGGCTATGCCTCTGCACAAATATGTAAAACAGNGGACATTTTAAACTGTTTTACATATTTGTGCAGAGGCATAGCCTCTAAAGAAAGGTTGTCTCTGCAATGGAAATAGTTGTTCCTGGTGATTGGACATGGCAAGCAAAATTGGACTCGTATCCAGATGTATTTTACTTTTTATTAAATAGTAATTCTGCCAGCCCTTTTCTACAAAGAAATATTATATTTTTAATTGTGTTGGGATTGTCACCTGTGGACATTTTAAACTGTTTTACATATTTGTGCAGAGGCATAGCCTCTAAAGAAAGGTCTCTGCAATGGAAATAGTTGTTCCTGGTGATTGGACATGGCAAGCAAAATTGGACTCGTATCCAGATGTATTTTACTTTTTATTAAATACTTTTCATTAACACATGTACAATAATTGTATTGCAGATGGTCCAATAAACTATATTTTCCATAATAAATGTTTTTAAAAGCAACCTTTCAAAGTTCAAATAAAGTTTAATTTTTTTGTGTCAACAATATTCCTTGTATCCCCCACTGCCAGTGCCTCTTCAGTATCTCTGGTTTAATTTGTGACAAGAAAAGAAGCAAACTAAAGCGTGAATGTTTTCCCAATTCTTGTTTTCTTAAATAATAATCTGTAGTGAGAATCACAACAATTACTTGTAAATCTATTGTAGTTGAGGCAAGAGTACCTAAAAAAAGCTACTTTAAAATCCCAAATCAAAATTAAAAAGTTTGAACTTTCATTTCTTAAACTTTAGTATATTGTTTTTCTTTTTACTTTTTGTTTTATTTCATTAATTTATTAATATACTGAAATAAGTAAAACAAGTTAAATAATAAACGTTAAATAAATTATATAAGGTAATTAAGTTCACTAAGTATTTGGAGTATTTGAGAGTATTCAAGATATTCTAACGTTCGTGATCTGGTTAACATTTGAATTTTAGAAAAATGATATTTGCCCATCTCTAAAGTTTATCCTAAATTTTTGCCTAGTTTCCTATAAATTGGATGATTAAATGCTAAATTAAGAATTATTGCAAAATCTCATAAATTTTTTAATAAAGTTAACAAGAAATATTTAATCAACATTCAAAATATAAACATATGTAACAACTCATTTGAGTTAAATTTTTGATTAAAAAATTTCTCACGTTAAGTGCTAAATTAATTAAAATGCTTAATTACCCTTTAACATTTTAATTCAAACAGCATATTTAAATTGAAAGTCATGTAATGTAATATATCATATAAAGCTTAATATTAACTATAAATAAATATTAAATAAAAAAACTAAAGTTTGTCTTACTTTGCTATAACTGATCTTGTTTCGAAATCCAATGTTTTCATAGAAGTATTAACTTCTAAACATCCAACATACTGAAAGAAAATACAAAATTTAAGTTAAGAAAATTATATATAGTTACAGAATTATTTTATTACATTATTATTTTGTACTTGTTCTTTTCGTCATAATAAAAAAAATAATTATATTAAAAATATTTTATTAAATAAAATCTACAATTATTATTATTATCATCATCATCTAAACACTTTTTAAATTAAGCATTATTTTATTGAATAATTATAATTCTTAATGAAAATATTAAGATCATTAATTTATATTTAATCACTTTTAAGCAGCTGATTTAAAAATAGAAAAATATAATTAAATAATGCAAATCATTTTTTGCAATACTTTAAAAGACATTAACAATAAATCATTTTTATTATTAAAATTGTATATTTTATTTACATTAATTATTCAGATCATTGATTAATTATTACATTTATTGATTTCATAATATATACAGTAGAACCTCGAAAACTCGGCACTCGATAACCCGGCACTCCGGATAACTCGGCCACACCCTGGCAGGGCAAAAAAATCCTTAGTTAATTAATTTTCATGATAAAGACGGCTTTATGCCTCATAAAGTATTTTTCTGAGATCTGTCTTATCAGGTAAATTACTGTACAATGTATTCATTAATTTTCATTTAGTAAAGGCTCTATGCCTTCATAAAAGACGTACTTTTCCTTTGTTTAAAGGTATTTGGGCAGTTTATTCTCTGTTGTATTCTCCAGCAAACAATACATACGAGTACAGTACACTATTTTCTGAGGAAACACGCATACTTATCCTTTTTTAACCCCATTCCCGATAACCCGGCATTTTCACAAACTCGGCCACCCTTCGGTCCACATTAGGCCGAGTTTTCGAGGTTCTACTGTATTTTCAAAAGAAAATAAAATACCCCAAGATTATACAGAAAACAAAGTCTATTATTTTTATATAATTCAATATGGATTTATCATTTTATTATAAAAATATTTTGAAAATTTCATATTTCAATTATTCTCTCTAATCACGGAATTTCACTTTTATCATCTCAAAATCCAAATTTAGGAATCTTAATTAACCATTTATCACATGTAAAACTAACTTTAAAAAGCTTTACATTAATATAAATAGAGAATTTATTTTCAAAAGATACAATTTCTTAAGCATCCAGCCACTTTATTGAACTTCTAAGACTAAACTACTATAAATTCTTTAGTTTGAAAATTCCCCAAGGTAGCTGAACTCAGTTTTCTACAATTATGAAGTTTTATTTATTTTAGTCTGAAGTGTATTTGCCATAACTAAACCTTTATTAATGTTTAATTATGAGAAATACACTTTATACAATAAATAAAGATGTTTTTTACCATATATATTAGTATATTTGGGGAAAAACTTTTCAAGAGCTTGATATATATATTGACATAACTTCAAAGAAAAAAAAATATTTGAATGATAAATGCACTTGTTACAATTCAATTTTAGAGTTCTCCTGACTAACTGTTTGAGCCAACAATTTATATTTCTTGTTCTTAGTAATAATTTGTTTTAGTTAATTTCAGTTATTCTAGTTTATTCTGTTACTTTTCTGTATAATATCTGTAAATCACATTTATGTCTGAACACTGCCCTGTTGCCTTTCCATGACAACATGTGTATATATTTTCTGTAATTATTAATATTTCTTTTCCTAATATCAGTAGTTTGTAAATTTTGTAATAGTTTGTGAAATCCAAGAACAGTTTATGAAATTTAGTAAAATTAAACATCTGAAACAATAAAAACTGCCCTAACACCACCTTTCAGGGAAAAATTTTCAAACTGAAATAACATGACTTAAGATTTGCATCGGAAGATCTTATATAGTTAATCGGGGCCTCATGCCCCTAAGGTTTCCATATCTGGTCTTGTCTTTCATCTATCTAGGATGAACGACAGTGGAAATTTATAGATCTACAATTTTTTTCAAATTGCAATCCAATAAAATTACCACATAGAATAATATAATAAATATAAAAATTAAAGTTTTATTTACAAATTTGGTAGAAATTTTTTTGTATAGTACATATCTCAAAAATTCTTAATATTTTTATATAATTAAATATTTTAATATGAAAAGTAAAAATACTCTGTTACAAGTTATATATTCTTACTGTGGCAGTTAAAATAATAACATTAAATAATATATTTTAATAGTCTAATTTTCTTAATAAAATAAATTATTCACACTTCCAAATAGCATTTATGAAAATTCTTATTCTGCTATTAACAATATTCCAAATAATATATGTTTTAAAAAAGACTGAAATTGTAGAATATTACTGTTTCATTGTTAAAAACATTTCTTTGATCTTGTTTTTTCTTATAAAACATTTTGCAAAATTGTCAACTTAATGCAGACTTGTTTTCTTTATACAGCATATTATTTGTAGTGTTAAAATTCACTTTCGTATACTGTTACTAACGTTCATTTCATGAAAAATTTCAAATTTATGGAAAAGTTCCATGCAAAATACTCTTTTAAAAATATATACACTTTTATAAATAATCTAAGGAATTCTAGACGCTTCTCAAGGGGGTGGAAGAAAAAGAAGGAAAAAAAAAGTTCATCCCATATGGTTACTTTTATATCGCTGGAAAGATAACGAAAACAGAGCGTAACACTACACAGATGGGAACGTCCGGAATATAACGTATCTGTGACACAGTTAAAAGAATCTCAAGGCCAATTTCTCCAGTAAATATATATTTTTCAAGAAACCTGGTTAATTTTTTTTTAGGTCGATTAATATAATTCTCGAAAAACTGGAACTAAGAGGAGTCCCAGTTATTAGGGGAAAAAATTTAGAAACTAAAACTAGAATTTAGTATATTTAACCAAAAGCTGTGCTCTTAAGATTATTTAAAAACGTTTCTTTTTTTTCTTTTTTTATGCTACTTTTTGTAAATATATGCGTAAGAATCTAAAATTATTTTAAGTTGTTTTTGCGCTTATAAAGAGGTCAAACAGAAAAAAAAATCGCATTCAAACGCGACGACGATCATAAAACTTCTTAATTGAAGAGATACATTGCACGTTTGATTTTTATAATTATTTCATTGATTTAAGTACTCGAGACAATTTTTTATACGAAGAAAATCTATTTATAATTTCTACATTTTGTATATTAATCGGTTAAATATATTTTTAAACAGCAAAACATTCCCGTAACCGCAGTTATAAAAAAAAATTTTTTTACGTGACTCGAAAGAATTAAAATATGAATAATAAATTTTAATTGCACCCAATATCAGATTCGATTTTGACAGGATTTATCGGGAAATCCATTAGCTGACACACATCAGAATGGGACAAAATTATTTCGAAATAGACTATTTTTTTTTTTAATAATTTGAATAAAGCGATTACCTATAATCGACTTATATATACGTTTATTTATTCTAATTCAAAATTTAAAAGGAAAAAAAATCCATAAAACTTCTTAAATTCCCGGAGAAATGTGTTATTTAATTGACGCGTTACTGCTTCGAAATCCTCTTACCATCATTAAATATTAAATTCGATAAACACGCCAAAGCGCTCGTTACGTTACACGTGTTTATCGCTTTACTAAAACATCGATTGCTTCTAATTTTGGCACTTCCAACGCCAACTTCTATTTCTAAACTGTCTCCAGTTTAAACAAAACTTCTTAACATTAATAGCTTGAGAAAACGCTGTGATTTAGGCTCGTTACGTTAAATTATAAACGCGTCTATCCCTGGCTTGACTTTATTTTTTATTTTTTCGCACGGAGTAACGAACGTGCAACACGTTTTCGAGGAAACTCGCCCACAAACGTTTTAAATTCGGGTGATTTACCATTCGATTCCCACGGCCGTCGTTACGAAATCGTTTAAGGTCAAAGGTTAATGGGGGTGCAAAGGGCGGCGGCCGGAGGCCGTCTCTCAAAAGAGGGTTCGGCCCGACGCCCACCCACTCGTTTCGACGGTGGTCTCCCTCGTACCGCGTGCACGTACGGGGGAGACAAAACGACAGGAAGTAATGTTATATCGTATCAATGAGAGAAGTGGAGCCGGAAGGAAAACGNACATAAAAAAAATTGCTTGGACTTAAGAGGGAGAAAGGAACCCCAACGGTATTTTTATAGGGTGTCTAAGATAATATCCACGCCAAATTTGGTGCAAAATGCATAGAATCTTTTACCTAATATATAAGCAATGATAAGAAACAATCTGTAGTTTTAAACAATAATAAAAAACAAATAGCTAAGTTTTCGCGTAAACACGAAACAAAATCTGAATTTCCTCTGAAAGATTATCCCGTTTACAGAACAATCGAAGCTCGCATTACTTTTTATTGTCATAGATTCTACGATAATAGAATGTAATTTTAGCCACGATTAAAATTAACCGAGTGACTGTACTGTATAATTATCATTACAAAACAAGTATTTGATTACAATAGTAGTCTCGGATAGCGATCGTGCGAAGCAACGAAAGAATAAAAATTCATCTAATAATTGTTATGCTCTTAGGAGGAAAAGTTGTATCAAAATTAAACAATTAATTATAATTTACTATAATACAGATGCGGTGTTTTGCATACTCTAAATTATTGTTAAAACAGAATAATTGTCAAATACGGAAACTTTTATAAATACATATATAAAACAGATTTTTTTATAATCATTAAAAAAAATAATAACAATAATTGCTGTTGATTTTATCACCAAGAAAAGTTGACTAAATAACAACTTAGATGAGTCACGTTTAAGAATTCAGTAGCAGCAAATCAACCGAGCAACGACCATAATGACGTCACGCACTAGGCAATTTTATAATGACAATTTGTGAAGTCGATATACAGTAAAATCTTAAACAACATTTCGATTGGCAGAAAATATTTTAGATAAACACGTTATAGATAATTTATTTCCATTTCTTACTCGTCCACGCGTGCTAAGCGCTCGTTTCTCGACTATTTTAATGCGTTTTGAAAACATTTTATCACCGTCAAAACATACTTTAAACA